GAGATGAAAATTCTGGTTGGATTTAAAACTCGTGTATATATAAACTTTAAAAACAAACCCGGGGATGGGAGGGATCCCTCACTGAACTCGAATGTTATGAATTGCAGTAAGAGGATTTAAATAGTGTTCACTTATGTTTATTTTAACTTAGGTAGACTTAGGTATTTCATAAAGAATTTTTATTTCAGTTAAACCCCATGATAAATTTTATCATCGTATGTTGGTTCAATTATATAAATACTATTTAAAATCTAGGTCTTCCTAAGGGTTAATAAGATAGTGAATTCCAATTTGCTTTTTCAAAACAAGGATAGGCATTTTGGGCCCTTTTCTTCACATTTGCTTAAAAACATGTTGCTGCTGCCTTTTTCTAAATGCTCCATAACTCCATCAACCACATTTGGTTAATCTCTAAGTCCATACACGGCTGAAGTTTAAAGGCACAATTTCATATTCAATATTATAGCGTTGAAACAAGCACACCAATAAAATAAAATAAAAACCTCTAAAGTTGAGTGTCTCACAGAGGAGAACTGTGTTAAAATGGTGTCCTCTTACGAGTTAATGTATGCATGGGAAACACATTTTAAATGAAAATGTAACTGCTCTCGAAGAACAGATAGCTTTGTTTTATGGCTGAGTGGAAAGTTCAGAAAAATATCCATCACTCAGTTACTAGAATAATAAATTAAATCAAGGAGGCAGGGAAAGAAAATAGGGGAGACAAAAGGAAATAAAGGAAAAGCAGAAGGTGAGTTAGGAATGAGCTATTGCTCGTGAACTAACTGCTGCCTCCAAAAATGATAGGAAAGCAGCAGACAGGGCAACAGAGAGAAAATTGCATCAAGCTTCAGTGTTTATGTTTTTGATGGAAATGTACAAATCACTTCCATTCCTTACGGTGCTGTCATGCTCCATCACTTTAGTCCATTTGCACCTTGCGAAGGAATCCTGAGTGGGGCTTCCTCCTCTGGCAGCTAATTAATCTCTCACAAGCCCGCTCTTGTAACTTGTCTGCCTGGAATGCCCCTCACCTGAAGCCGGCGACTCCTGAGCCGATTTCTTCCCCCCTGAGCAGTCCTTTCTTCCCTTAAGCTATACGGAGACCCATCTTTCCCTTTTCATTTGGGAAGCTACGTGAGCTTTAGTGTATAATTGAGAAATTGCTCCCTCTACTCCACCACCATAAATGGACACTCCCAAATAATTGGATTGGCTTTTAATGACAACAGACACAGCCGGAATATAAATTGTGAATATGCACCATTTTTTATCCCAATAGTGTATATAATATGTAAGGACGCACATTACTTAGATGATGCATTTTCTGTATATTTGTATTTCTTAGCTCTTTATTGTGATGAGACAAATATACTCATAATACTGTTGCATTTGCCTTAAAAATATTACCAAATTTTGCAAATAGGAGAATACTTAATTTAATGGCTAATTCTTTATGTAAAAAAATTAAGGTAAGAGTATAATTCTTTCTATGTTGAAATGCTTCAATTAAAAATAATACAAATCCTATTTAGTTTTATTCTATTTAATAAACATAGCCTTTTAATAAGTTACCACTAATCAACTACTTCCAAAGTATATTGCTTCATTTTGTCACAGGTGGAGCTTTTATTTCAGTAATGGCTCATAGGAGGTGAGAAATATGAGCCATACTTTAATATTTTCCTGATGCTGTTCACATGGCTTTCTTTTTTATTGCAATGATCTGTGTTGCTTTTACATTCTCTTGCATTTTTTTGTTCAATTTTTGTGAAATTTTGTCTGTCTTTATGTTTTCTTTTCATTTCCTTTTAATTAAACATAAAACACCTCCATCAGCTATGTATTTCATACCTTTAGAAAGCAGAAGATATATATCTTAATGGAATAGCTTTTCCAAATATTGAAGATTCTCCATCTACCTGTGAAGATGTATGTAACTTGGCCCATGCATGTACGGAAAACATACCTCACAAGAACAGGATCACTATAAATACTCAGTTATTCACAAAAATATATGTGGGTCACATTTCCAACCTCTTCACATGTGTAGTGGCACCAACTAAAGGGGTCCATTTACCTGAGTACATCAAAGCCCAATAAGATGGCAATAGGAGATTTCAGCAAAGGAAGTAGAAGTTTATTAGCTGAGGCAATGGCACCACACCCAGAGTCAAAGGTGAGCTATTGCTTAAAGATCTGGCTCCCCAATGGCTTCTAGGGGATGGGTTATATAGGGGGAAAAATCATTAATCATGGTGCCTAAGGGAGTTAGGGGTCATGGTCAAGGTAGTGGTCTCTACTGATTGGTCAACATTAGGGTAGGGGTTGGTCAGTGCATCTGGTCCTGATGTTGGCCATGGTGTTGCTTCACCAAGTTTTGCAAGGATGTGGTCAGTGGGGTCATTCTGGAGCTGAAACACAACTGAGGCCTAGATGTTATCTCTAGTTTTATTAAAACTCTGTGTCTATGGTCCACGGACCCAAGGCTTTGTTCCTAAGATTATTTGATGCTGACCAGGACCTCATTACCCTGAGAGCTCAATGATTAAGGGAGTGGTTGTGTAAGGGAGGAGACAGGTGAGTCAGGGTGCTAGATGAGGCCAGTTTGGATCAAAAGGAAAGAAAGGAGCAAAGGTTAGATTAAGGAAATGAAGTTTCTGAGCAGTTACAGTAGTAATTGTTTAAAAATTATATGCTGAATGTGGTTAATGGCAAATTGTAGGGAGTCTGTATTAGGTGGTCTTTCTATAAAAGGTAGTGAATTCTGTTTTAGCAATCAGGTAAATTTTAGGATAATTATTTTTGTCCATTAGGCTTGGTTTCATTCTTTGGTAAGACAAGACTACTTTGGTTTTGAACTTAATTCATGAATTTGACCCTCACTTCTAGGATGGAACTTTCTGCAGTCCCAACTGACAGTCTGAGGTGCTCAGTAAGCTCTCTCCACTCTGGTTGGCCTTCAAGTCCAGTGTCTTCCATCAGTGACTGGTCTCTGGCATCGCTGTTCAGTTCTCCCCCACAGAGCAGGAAACGTCATGTAGGCCTTTAGGAATCATACTCTGTAGAAATGCCCTCTAGACCTTGGCCAACAATTCACAGTAAATGCCCACACAAAGTACTGCCATTTCCGGCACAGCTCCCTTGTCTCAGGTACCCTGCACTGCAGGTTCAGGCATGTCAGCAACCCAGACTGTTCTCACTGCCCTTTGGCTCAGCACGACTTTAGTTCTACTCGGGTTCTGCTGCTGTAGCTCATGATAGCAGGGAAGGGCTTCCAGGCAGAAAGACACGGAGACTATGGGGCTCCTTTGAGTTTTTTCCTTCAACAGGGATTACCAAGCTGCACTGTGTTTAGTTCGATGCCAGCAATAGCTGCCTTACACAGTTTGTATAATTTTATGGTTGGCTATGGTGAGAGGAGAAGTATAGTACTGATTACCCTATTATGGTTAGAAATATAAATCCTAACAAGACATTTTTATTGTTAGATAAAGGAGATACAGTTTCCATAGGTGAGGCAAGTGGAGGGTGGTAAGAGACAGGGATCAGGAGCATTTACAATTAATATAGAGCCTGTGATTCAGGGGTGTTACAGCAGCTGTGTTTATACTTTAAGATACAAAAAATGGAAGAGAGATGAACTTCAGGGAACAAGTCAGTAACATACTTGGTGATATGTCTTTGTGGGAGACAATAAATATGGTTAGAATCTAGTTATAACTTAAGTTCAACTTCTCTTCTTTTGTTTTTAATCTTTAGCAGATAGCTGTCCTTATACAAAGATAGCAGGGAAGGGCTATCTTTGTGTAAAGATAAGTCATGATAAAAAGGAACCTGAACGTAGGAAGAATTTCAACAATTGAAGAATAATAATATAAAACAAATTCCCCTGAAGGACATACAGTGCATAAGAAATTATCTAATTAAAGTTATCAATAACTTAGACAAAAAGTATTTTACTGATCAGAGCTTCACTAACTGGTTACCACATTTTAAATGTACTTGTACCGACTCATCTGTTCACAGTGTTATTAGTTACCTTACTTCCACTCTTTGTCAATTTTTAAAATAGGTTTATAGATAAAGTTAATTAAAAGCAATCAAACGTTACCAACGAACAGTGATACTGCTCTATCTACACCTTTTCATTAAGAAACAGCCCTTACATAAAATGGGAAAAGGCAAAACTGCAGTTATCTTTTCTTTTCAGTTATTTCTGATAGTTTAGATCAGTGGTTCTTAAACTGTAGCCTGAGTCAGAATTATCTGGAGAGCTTGTTAAAACACAGGTCGCTGGGCCTCAACCCCAGACGACGAGTCTCGAGAATTTGCATTTTGATACGTTCCCAGGTGATGCTGCTGCTGCTGCTGGTGGTGGTCTCGGAAAAACCCTTTGCAAACCATTGGTTGAGATTCTCATCCCCACAGGCAAATTATAATCACCAACAGGAGACGTTAATTCACACTAATACTCAGGCTCCACCTCAGGCCATTGAAGCAGAATGTCTGGGGCTTGAGGCTTTTATGGGCTGAAAGTATCTCAGGTGATTCTAACATGCGGCCCAAGCTGAGAGGGAAAAAACACACAGGATGACTTAGAGAAGTTTATCGGGTCTTAACGCATTGGTGGGAAGTTTTCTTTTCTCAGCATATTCCTTTGTCAGATGGGAACGATTTCTAGGTCGTCTTTCATGACACGCCGTCCTTTCATAAGGAATGAGTGAGGCAGTGTAAAGGTGGCTTTACCACGTGACTTTACAAACCAAAGGTAATTTAAATGTAGTCAATTTCATGCTACTAATTTATAAACTGCTTAGAATATAAGGTAGTTTTAGAATTTTTAAAAAAGTATTGTTCTTGTACCTTTAGCCATTTATAAAACTACTTTATACCTCAGATATTTACTTTTATTAGCATTGTTGTTTACAATTAGGCAGCAAAAGAAACACTTAGGTGCCGGCTCCTACAGCTTTAACTCTTAGTTCCTCCCTCTGCAGTGAAAGATGCCGATGCACTTTGTATGGACATACAGATTCCGTGAACAGCATCGAGTTCTTTCTTTGCTCCAACACCCTTCTCACAGCTTCTGCAGATAAGTCCCTGTCTATATGGGATGCAAGGACGGTAAGGAAACCCTTCAGTTTTTCCAAGTTTTAATAATCCCTTTAATAATCTTAATCACCCTTCAGGTCATGGGTATGACTGATAAAGTAATTGTGCAAGGGCAGGTAGGGCAAAAGAATGGTATGAAGTTTTAATGTACAAGGTCCTGTCAAGGGGCTCTTATCTACCCTGCCTCCTAAATGTAAGGATTATAAAAATAATGTCATTACTTCATTAAACATTATTTCAGTTATTTATAAATAGAAACTCTGCTGGTGCAGCGGCTATGACTGGGGAACGCATAGTGCCTCTCCTTAACTAGACAAGAAAGGGGGAAAGAAGAGATGGTGAGTGAGTGCTGGAGTGGAAGAACATGCCAGGTGCAGCAGGAAAGCAAGAAGAGCCCTCGTCTGCTTGGAGGGGGTGCCTGGCTTCCAGAGGAGGCGCTGCTTCCTCCGGCTGAGAGTTGGCCTGTGAGAACACAGCAGCTAGTTTCCAGAAAGGTGGCTGCCAGGAAAGAACAGTTCCTGTAGGAAGCCAAGAAGATAAGGCTACGGTGGCATATGTGGAGGTAATAAAATGTTTGTAGAGAGCTTAAGGAGAAAGACATGAGAGGCAAGGGCGTGCAGATGGCCACGCAGCACCGTGAGCCCCTGCAGTTTCGCACTGCCTTGGAGGCCAGCGTCATCGGGCTGGCCTTTCGGAAAGACTGGTAGTGGGACGAGGGCATGGCTCTGAGGAGGCTGGTACAGTAGGCTGGGGGGGATGGGAGCTGAACCGGGAGACTGTGAAAATAAAAAGGATTTGACTGCATTGAAGATAACAGGTTTAACTCTCAGAATTTAAAGTGGCTGTGGATGGAGGTTACAGGAAGAGGAGGGATTTAGGGCAGGAGGAACAACCCCCCCAGCTTTTCTAGGCCTGGCGGTTTTCCTGGGCGGTGGGATTTTCAGAGCTAAAACGCGAAGGTTTGGATTACTGTGGCTTTGAGAGAGATTTAGATGTGAAGAAATGGAGGTGAAATGTGGGGACTGCGTTTCCAAACAGTCTGTGTGTGAAGATGAAGAGAAGAGGCCGTAGCTCTCGGGTCGATAAAGGCCCCTCCTGCGCTCATACAGAAGGCAGCGTGTTGGTTTGACTGGGGTAAGAGGAGCGGGAGAGGAAGGGGCTGAAAGTGCACAAAAGGGAGGAGATAATAGAAAACCTTACCGAACACAGATTTTAGTAATTTAAGGAATGCCAAGATATGCAAAACAGGATCTCCATATTCGCCTTAGCAACATTTCATGAAGATAACGAAGAAAGCTAAGAATCCAGGAGACTGTACAAAAGGAAAGAAATATCCATAGTATCTGGCCCCTGGGTCAGTAAAGATTTGCAACTTTGACTTCTCCCATTCGTCTTCCCTTGTACAACATACGATTGACGTCAACAAGGGAACATGGTGATGACATACAGAGGGTGGGAGCAGGGACCCACGTCCAGTGGGAGGGGCTCTGTTTAGTCCACTAAGGCAGATTTATTTAGGACGAGCAGAGAACGGGCCCTTAGGCAGAGCTGCAAGTGCCTTGGACAGCACCCTCGCATGTCGCAGAGCCTTAGACTTCCGAGGAGGCGGGAGTCAAGGAGTAAAATCACGGGGATTTGTTGGGGGTACAGAGTCCCACAGCCTGCTGCCTGTTTCAGAATAGCTTGGACCTTATGCAGTGGAGTTCACTTCTGCTAATGGAGCATCAATGGAAAGGCAAGGCTTTCGATGCATTTAGTCCAAACACTTAGATGTGAAGTGCGCATGAAAGCAATCAGTAAAGGAAAACCGGTAGAGAAAATATTCATTTAGCACTGGCCTAGATTTTATTTTCATTTTCTCCTGATTTCCGGTTTTTCTTTCCTGTCTCTCAAAGTGCTTTAACTGAATGTTCTCAGGAAGCATGTCTCATGTATTTTCTCTCATGTGAAAAACTAATGCTCGGAAGTGCAACTGTCCTTATTACGAGAATTTGCTTCTCATAAGTCTGCCTTAAGTGCACAGCTTTGTTTATTGGCGGCGACCTTCTACCTGATTCTGCGAGCTCTCTTGTGCTGCTTTTATCCCCTGCAGTAGCTCTCAGAGCAGGAGAAAAGAGGGATTCGCCCCGCACGGGCCCTTAGCATACAGAAGCATATGCGTATTGATGTATGTGCACAGAAAGATTGTGAATCCCAGGGACATTACTTTAATCAATATAAATATATATTTTAATTGGGGTTAATTGCAAATTAAAATTTATATGGTTAATATTATTTTTGCAATTGTATTTTTAGTGTGCATAGTATAGATTTAGCATGTATAATAGAGGGTTTTAGGTTATTAACAATTAGACACTGCAAAGTGTTAATTAAAATATTGATACAAAAATTTACAAATAATATATGAAAACAACTCTAGAATTAAACAGACTCATTTGACTAAAGTTGCATTAGGTACTTTTAGAAGTACCTTATTTATTTAAAATACAAAACAGAAAACCTTTGATGTAACCAGATTTTTAAAAATTCATTTTATATACATAGTTTTAAAAAGATATATGTTATATGTCGTTTATATAATATGGAATTATTAGTTGTTTAATATCCCAATGGTTCATGAAAGAGTGAGTGTAAATTAATTTTCATAGTTGAATATTACGAGATTGAAAAGAGCAACCAGGATGGCTATCGCTCCTTCTATGTAATAATAAAAACTGTACAATATATTGATGTGGATGATGTTATCTGATTTGTAAGATTAACTGAACCCATAGTATGCTAATCTTTTTTATAACTTTAAGATTATGTTAATTCTTCGATAAGTGATAAACTTTCAGGTTATGATAAAAATCTGAACCTAAAAGGAGTTGAATGACTTTCTTCTCTTCTTAGTAAAGCAAGAAACAGTACATTTTGTTACCTTAATGTGATCAATTAGTATTGAGATATCCTCTAAAATATTTCTGATAAAACATGAAAATGACCAGTGGCTTATATTCCTATAAATTAGTTTTAAACCTCTGTCTCCCATCCCCAAACATATACTAGTCTTAAATCATTACCTAATCTAACAGCTTATTGTCAAAGATGATGAATGCGCCGACCTCTAAGTCAGTCTCTGACTCAGCCGGACAGATCAGCTCTGAATATTGTGGGAGATGAGGAGAGGGGTATAAATCTCTATAATTACCAAAGAGAGGCTATTAAGTAGCTTGCAGTTTGGAAACTCGTGAAATTACTCAGCTTTACAGGACTACATGCAGAGTATTTTCCCTCAAAGTTATGCAACAGTAAGATTATTTTATTAAAATTGAAATGTAAGATTTAATATTGCCAGAATATGGTGTATAATATAGCACATCTAATGAAAAGTTTTAATGCCCTCTCAAAAAGCAAAATGAAAACCCCAGTATATATCAGTGATTTGGAAGCCAATTTTAGAATAAATGCAATGAGATTATTAGTCATTCACAAGTCCAATGAAAATATTAAGGCTTTTGATATATATTTTTTTAAAAGATGCACTTCACAGTATAGTAGAACACAGAGTAGAATGACAAATACACCTGTGAGCCGTTCAGAGCTGGGTTGGCAACTGTCAGAGTTGCTGACACGTGGTCTCTTGTGATGCATCAGACGCAGTTCATGGCCTGGACTGGCCCTGGCGGTCGTGCCTTGCTCCCTAGACTAAGTGCAGGCTCTTGTCCAACTTATGATGTTGTCCTGACTTAACTTTAGCCAAAAGATCCAGTAACTGATCACTGTGAGCTTCCATAAAGCGGAACTAAGAACTCACCAAAGATGTTAAACTCTTGAGTCCTGCCTGGTACCGAACCCACTGCCCACTTCATAGTTGTGCCAGCACCCTGCGCGGGCCGGCTGGTTTCCCGGGATGGGAGGCTGGGGAACTCTCGGAGGAGCCCGGCGTTATTCGTGAGCCAGAGTGTGGAAGCAGAGGCAGAGCTTGTGCCTTTCTCCGTAGGTTTATTCCTCAGGCACGTTCAGTTTGGTACCATTGAAGATCTCTGTGGCAGGCCACATAATGGCTTCTGTATTGTTGGCTGTGACAGAGTCCCTGCCCCCGATGAACATGTAGTCTATTAGTGAGCAGACATAAAGATCAATTATTTTAAGATAATGTAGTAATTGCTATATACTTAGTGTAACTATAGCTTTGGCTTTCTGAGCCAAAGCTCACTATTCCAAGAAGTGATTTTATGACTAACACTTATTTAACACCTACTATGTGGCATCCCTTTACCTATAACATCTATTTAACCCTTACCGGAATTACCGTTATTGTCTATACTAGAAACTGGAAAAACAAAGGCTTAGAAGATTAAAATGAGTTGTCTAGGACTGGCCAACTGGCAGGTAGCAAAGTCAGGAAGCAGGCTGACTCTCCAACCTCAATCCTGTATTGTTATTTTATGGCCTCCAGTTCTTTGTTGGCTCTCACTGAAGAATTAAAAGTGTTGAAATGACATTTCAGTGGAAAAAAGATGATTCAATGTGATTATATTTTCAAAAATAGTGTTTTAACATTATAAATAAATGCTTTACGAATCAGATCTCTGCCTGTATTTAGCAACTATCAGAGCTACAAATGGTCCTTTGCAAAGATACAAAACTCTAAAGGGAAAAAAGAACATCATGGTCTATAGCTATCAATCAGATACCGGATTGTTGAATTTATTCACCAATTATGCAAAGGCATTTTTGTTAAAATGTTGCTAGGCATTTCTCTTATTCAGAAGTCAATCAGTTGGTCTTATAAACCAATCAGAAGTTGTTTTCAAATATTTTAAAACAAAGTAGAAAATCCTGTTCCTACATTTTTAAAAGAATTTGATTCAGAAGCTTTTAAGGTGATTGCCCTTGCATAGATTTGGCAGAGGAAACACTTCCCAACAAATGTTCTGTAGAGCAAGTTTTTTTTTAAAATGGTTCCTTTTTTTTGTTTGGTTAAAATGTTACCTTTACTTTGATGGGATGATTAATTGTATTATTAT